TTGGGTCTCAGATGAATATTTCTTGGTGTTGCACACGGAATGATAAATTTATATATAACCTCTATCACCACTGATAGTGGTGGAAGGTATAATAATCCACATTTTAAACACATAGTCACTAGTGTAGGGTCATATGGTAGGTTATGCCCGATTTTAATTTAAAATATTGACTAGAATATTTGTTGTTATGATAAAATAAACCACCCTATTGTGCTTATAAGAAGTTTGCTTCCTTATATGTACATACTGGTGGTCGGTAATATCAGTAATATACATTATCATGGGAGTGGTCATGTTGTAACCTTCCCTTTTGGTGAGGTTCTCCTAGCATATAAAATTATGAACGAAATATTTAACATATTATGGTAAAAACACTGAAAAAAAACCTTTTTATCGCATAATCCATTTCATCGAATACTGATGTAAGGGAATCCATTTTGGGAAATGAGATCTTAGAATAAACAAAGCTTTTTTGGACCGCCTTAATGTACATATATCCTTGTTAAAAGTTTCATTAAACATTACAAATTTTATTCATTTGTATTATATTCTTTATTGTATTTATTCACATGAATATGAGAAAAGCACGAAAAAAAGAAGGAAAAATGAACAAGAGAAACATAAAAATAGCATTTATATTTATTTAATTCACATTTAACAAAAGAATACAAATAACAGCGAAATTACTTAACACCATTTTGCGAGTAAGTACAAACATACATACATATGTACATTTATAATAATGTAATTCAAAAACAAAGCACTAAATAACAAAAAAGCTTTTTATACTTGAAAAGTACTCAGTTACAGGGGTACTTTTTCAATAATAAGGAAGCTTTTGTTATGTAACAATAATGATCTCTCATATGTAGCTACCTTAAAGTATAAAGCTTTTTTAGTTAATTTAAATGGTCGTCTGTCGCTCCATTATAAACCTTGCAATTAAGCTATTAATAGCAAATTTTAGAAATTCTCTGACTTTTTCGGGCCAAAGGTGAAATTTCTTAAAGTTTTTAAAAAATCGTTTGAATATTAAGCTAATTCCTTAAAAAATGTCCCTAAATTATTTACACCATTACAATCTAAGTAACTGTATATACAAATACATATGACGTAGTTTCAAACATTTAACACTTTTAACAATTAAGAGAAATTTTTAAATACATTTTTGTACACTCTCGTGCAATATGTATTCATTGTACATGACACAAAACTATAAAACATAATTTTGACATTTACAAGTTTTTTCTTTCAAATCCATTGTTGTTTCTAGAAGAATTATTATGTTTAAACAAAAAATAAAATAAATGCATTTAGTTCAACTTAAAAAACACTTAGGAGAAACAAGCAAATGTAAATTATACAAATAAAAAAGTAGACATTTATTTGCTGGAAATGCAATTATTGTCTTAAAAATTATTTCTTACACATGAATGTCTCACCTGTACTGGCAGTTTTTCCTAATAGACCTGCTTCGATAAGTGTTGCATGTAGAATAAGTTAAACATTTTTTTTTTTTGTAAAAAATTAAATAGAAAAGGAAATATTAATGTACTTAATTGCAGTTTTAATTAATGGATACTTAATTTAATTAAATAATTTAATAAATAAAATATTTTATAAAATAAGTGTAAATAGTTTATAGATTTAATTTTATGGGACACAGAGTTATAGAAAACCACCTCAGAGAGATGTATGCTTTCTATAAAGGGCTTTTCAATAAAAAACTATATCTAATTTTTCCATAAAAGTTTTTCAGAGGGAAAATTTTAATATATAAACAAGTAATAAAGTCAGACAGACAGACATACAGACAGACAGACGAACGGACAGATGGACGGACATAGCTAAATCGACTAAGAAAATGATTCTAAGCCGATTGGTATACTTTAAGGTGGGTATAGGACCAATGTCATTGTGTGTTGCAAACAACAGCACAAACCCAATATAACCTCCCCTAAAGTGGTGTAGGGTATAAAAACATACGGATATTTTTTGAAAACGCTTTTTATGATGAAATGCTTTCATATAGAAAAAAGAAAGAAATCTTTTGCGTATAAAAAGCTTAGACATAATAAGCTTTTGCAGTGGGAAAGTTACTCTGTATCAAATCTCTATATATATAAAGCTTTTTATCGCAATATTAAATAGGATTTATTGAAAAGCTTTTGTAAAAAGAATCTTTTTCTGAAAAAGTTTTTAGAACGGAAGCTTTCAAATATAAAGGAAAATCTTAAAAAAAAGCTTTTATTTAAAAAAAGTTTACAGATGGAACTCTCTTCATTAAAAAGCTTTTGTACATCAATAATTTTTCTAAAGAAAGCTTTTCCAGAGGAATAAAGAGGTTTCCAATTTTCTTAAAAAAGCTTTTACATAAAGAAAACTTGAGAAAACTTTTTATGGAACTGTCTTCTATAAAATGCTTTTGTATATCAAAATTTTTCCCAAGAAAGCTTTTACAGAGGAATAAAGAGGTTTCCTCTTTTCTTAAAAAAGCTTTTACATAAAAAAACACTTTAGAAATCTTTTTATGGAACACTTTTTAGAAAAATCTTAACATCTTTTGAGATGGAAACTATTTTATACTATACAAAGCTTTTGCAATAGAAAAATTTTTAGTTCAATTTCTATAGAAAGCTTTTCAAGTAAAATATTTTATAGAAAACGTTTGATTAAAAATGGACAACTTTTGCAGGGGTAATGTTTTTCCGTTAAAGCTTTTGAAGTTTTTGAAACTATATTTTATAAAGCTTCGAAAAAAAAATTTAAATTTTATATAAAAACCTTGCAATCATATATAAAGAACAAATTTTCATATGAAAAACTTTTATATAAAAACATATTCCACTACTATAAAAAGCTTGCTTTCACATAAAAATGCATATAAAAAACTTTTACATAAAATTTTGATAAAAATTGGAAAACTTTTTCAGGGGTAATGTTTTTCCATTAAAGCATTTGAAGTTTTTGAAGCTTTCATTTATAAAGCTTCGAAAAAAACAAAAATTTCATATAAAATCATATACATAGAAAAATTTTCATATGAAAAACTTTTGTATAAAAAGCTTTTACACTACTATGAAAAGCTTGCTTTCACATAAAAAATGCACATGAAAAACTTTAATATAAAAAGCCTTCCTAAAAGTTTCCTGAAGGAAGAAATTGTTGAAAAAAAAAAACAATATATTTACAAAATCTTAGCGTAGGGACAACTTTTCTTTACAAAAATTTTGCAAAAGTATATTTATTATAATAAAGCTTTTGAATAGAATCATTTTATAAAAAAAACTTATCAAAATAAAAAAGCTTTTTGGGTAATAGCTTTCAGAACGAAAGCTTTCGAATATAAAGCTTTTAAATAGTAAAAGTTTGTACAGAAAGTTTTTAAACAAATATCTTTGTATAAAAAGCTTTTTCAATAAAATTTTTGAATGGAAAACTTTTCATATAAAATACTCTTTAAAATGATAAATCTTTTATCAGAATGTCCTTTAGAAAACATTTTGAAAGTGAAATGTTTTATAGAAAACTTTTCAAAAATGATATGTTGTAAGGGGAGATATTTCAGAACAAAATTTGTCAAAAAAAATTTTCATACACAAACATTTTTATACAAAAAGCTTCTTTGAATATAAATTTTCTATAGAAAGCTTTTGCGAAAAGCTTTTGTTTCTATTGAAGCTTCTCAGAAGAAAAACAATGTATGTATATAAAGAAAAGCTTTTACTTAGAAAACTTTTTTACAGGCAAGCTTTTTCATTGATAATAAAAAAGAAGCTTTTGTTGAAAGAAGTATTTTCTATAAAAGAACATTTTTAAATTACAAAATTTTCACATAAATCTCTAAAAGAATACTTTTTACGATGAAAAAATCCTTTTAGAAGTTTTGAAATATTTTCTAGAAATATAAACGATGACAATAGTTTTACCAGCACTCCTCCAAATTTTAAAAAAAAGTTGTTTAATATTAAAAAAATTCTTGACAGTTTTCTGCACGAGCAGTTTGCATTTATATTGATCCCATAATTTTATCCTGAGCTGTTGGTATAAATAAAGTGTCAACATATATACAAAATAGTTTACAAGGGTGTAAACAAACAACAAGTAAATGAAAGTGTTGTTGTAGTATGTGTTTAAAATACAATATTTTAATTAAATGATTTTAAAAAATATCATTACAATTAAGTTTAAGTAAACTATACAAAAAGAGATATATTACTAGCTCACACTTATAGATTTTCACTCCCACTACCACAATTTATGTACATACATATGTATGTATACGTATTGTCTGTACAATACAATGCATGTATTTTCTCTTGAACTATGAGTTAATACCACTTGTATTATCCAAGTAAAGGTAGGACTGCAAAAAAAAAACACAACAACAACATAATGTTTTGTGGTCTGAGGGATTACAATTATTGTATTTACAATATCCGGCAATCAACAACCAATGATGTATGGTCATGTGCACAAGCAGGATATGTAAGCATGTATCCTTTAGCCAGGATATTTATATGTATATGTTTATCTGCACACTCACACACATTGTATGCGTAAAAAGTGTAAAGTAATGTTTTATAATTTTCTTCACATACAAACATATTATATACTATATATTATAAAATCGGATTAAAAACTTAATACAAGCTTATTATTACAACATTATGCACAAAAAAAAAAAACGAATTAAATAAAATAATACTTTCTGTCTACCAAGTATTAACTTTTCGTTCAAGTGTGTTAATTGACATGTGGTCAAAAAATATGAAAACAAGGGATCAATTTATAACATACATGATTGCACAAGTCGTATTTTGTGTGTGTGTGTGTGTGTTTAAGTGTGAGGAAATTCTCTTTTTGTTATCCTAAGTAATTGCTGATAGTTACGACTTATTTTCCTAAGTACTTAAACATGTTATTTTCTTAAACTTAATGGGAATTATATTTAAATTTTCCATTTAAAAGTTCTTGGTAAACAAATCAATGCAACTTACACAATAAGGCGGCTGTATTTGTCAACTGGGCACTGCCCGGATTAGTGGCAGCATTTGTCAATGAGGGTTGTGTCATGGCTGCCAGAGCAGCTAAGTTTTGTACAGTCATAGGAGGTAGAAGACCAGCGGCTGCAGCAGCAGCTGTGGCAGCTGCTGTATCTGCAGTATTTGTTTGTGCACCCAAACCTGCAAAAAATGTAGAAATGTAAATAAATTTTCAATGTAAAAAAAAAGAGAAAAACTTCGCAAATCAAAGCCAATAAATCTAAATCACAGAACGAGCAAAAAAGGGAAGTATACCGAAAAACCCTATAGAATAAAACATTTTCAATGGAACACTTTGCAAAGAGGAACAATTTCTGAGGGAAATTAATTGAAGACAAGTTATCTACAAGAAACAGAAACTGTCTGCCATAAAAGTTGTCTATGTAACTTTTATCTCTAAGAAAGCTCTTTTTAAGAAAGCTTTTCTTTAAAAAAAATTTAAAATAGAAAGTTTTTTTATAGAAATTATTTTAAACATAAATATTTTCTATAGAAACCTTTTAAGATAGAAAGCTTTTTTTATAGAAAAAGCTTAAAACAAAAAACTTTAAAAGACAGAAAGCTTTGTTAGAGAAAATTTTATAAACAGAAAGCTTTCTTGTGTAAAACTTTGACTTGTAAAAAATTATCTACAAAGAGATAGAAAACTTGTTATACATAGACAACACCTATGACAGCTTTTACATAGAAAATTTCTAAGAAAGCTGTATTTAAGAAGACTTTTAGAAAAAACTTAAAAAAAAGCTTTTTTTTAAAAAAGTTTTAAAATAGAAAGCTTTTTTTTAGAAATTATTTTAAACTGAAAAAGTTTCTATAGAAACCTATTAAAATAGAAAGCTTTTTATGGAAAACTTTTAAGACAAAAAGCTTTTCTAAAGAAATTTTTAAAGACTTCTCTATAGAAAACTTTTAACACAGAGAGATTTTCTATAGAAGGCTTTTAAAACAGTATGATCTTTTTTACAGAAAACTTTTTAGCAGAAAGCTTTAGGACAGAAATCTTTGTTATAGACAACTTTTGCAACAGAAAGCTTTTTAATGGAAAATTTTAAAGAAATTTGTATAGATTTTTTTTAAGACAGATAAATGTTCTTAGAAACAGACAACTTGAAAACCTTTAAATTAGAAATCTATTCCATAGAAAAGCTTTAAGACATAACTTTAAAACAGAAAGCTTTGTTACAGAAAATTTTATAAACAGAAATTTTTCTTGTTTAAAACTTTAAGACAGAAAGCTTTTATATGATAAGTTTTAAGACTGAAAGCTTTTCTATAGAAAACTTTTAGGATAGAAAACATTTCTATGGAAACCTTGATGATAAAAAGCTTTTCACTGAAAACATTTATGAATGAATTCTTTTCTATAAAAACAAAAGAAAGCTTTTCTATAGAAAATTTTAAGACAAAAGGCTTTTCTATAGAAAACGCTTAAGATAGTAAACATTTCAATGGAAACCATTTAAGAAAGACAGCTTTTCTAGGAAAACAACCATTTAGAAGGAAATTTTGCTTCATTTATAATAGAAAGATTATCCATAGAAAACTTTTAAGACAGAAAGCTTTTCAAAAGAAAACATTTCAGTCAGAAAACATTGATGTATAAAACTTTTAATACGAAAAGCTTTTCTATACATTACTTTCAAGAAAGAAAGTTTTTCTATTGAAAATTTCAAAACAAAAAGCCTATCTATAGAAGACAAAAAACTTTATATACAAAAATTAGAAACTCTTATAAAGAAAACTTTATTATAGGAAGCTCTTAGGTCAAAACTTTTGAAGGCAAAAAAAACTTTGACTTGCAAAATAAAGAACTTATTGCATAAAACGTTTAGATAGAGATAACAAAGGTTTTTCCAAGAAAACTGTTCAAAAAGAAAGCTTTTCTATTTTTCAAATGCATAAAACGTTTCAGAAAGGGATAACAAAGGTTTTTCTAAGAAAGCTTTTCAGAGAAAACTAATTTAATTTCGGTTGACTTCCCCTTTTTGCCTTTGCAGTGAAAAATCATTATTACTACATACTACTACCAACTACACTACACACAGTACCTTGCAATAGCTGCTGTTGTAAACCGACTGCCTGCAATTGTTGCAACAACTGCAATGATGCTGGCGTTATAGCATCTGCGCCCAAAACAGGACTCGCCTGTTGGGGTGGATTGGGTAGCATGGGCGTCGAAACCGTTGTCGCTGTTTGACCCAAAGGTATATTAATATTCGTCGCCAAATTCCACAGATTCGCCTGGATTTGTTGAATTTTCTTTTGTTCCTTTTCCTTTTGGGTATCGGCGAATTTCACAACTAATGGTGAAGTGCAGCCTTCCATAGTTTTATTTTGATTTAAAGTCTAGAGTGTGGCAAAAGAAAAAAAATAGATAAAATTATAAAAAAAAGTGGAAAGAAAATAAAAAAAAACATGAATATCAAATCTAGTTTTACAAGGTTTATACGAGAGTTAGTTATTTGTTGTTAGTGGTGGTGATGGCGTTTGTCGTTTGGTCGGTCAAAAAAACTAAAGTGTGTTTTTAGGCAATAAATTTTCAGTTGCATTTTAAGTTTTTTTATAGCATATTTCCATATTTTTAAGTCTAAACAAAAAGTGTATATTCTGTCAGTTAACAGTTTGTAAAATGCAATTTAAGATTTTTCTTTTTTGGTTCGTTTTCGTTTAGCATAAATGTTTTTCCTGTTGGTCCTTATGGTTGTTTAGGGATTTGTTTTTTCTTTTCTGTGTTATTTATACAAAAATTTTTGAAATTTACTACTTTAATCGCTGATATCGCTGCGTGTTTTGTGGCAAACGTCACAAATGCACACCCTTTACTTTGACCGTTTTGATCACGCAACACCGTACACTCTTCGATCGCACCGTGCACTTCAAATAATTTACGTACGTCGTTCTCGTTCAGTTTCTTATTTAGCATGCCAACAAACAGTTTGCGTTCTGTAAAGAAAAGAGAACAATGTTTTATGAATTAGTTTGAAACATATTTTTGAATAGAATTATAAATTGTTTTTGCAAAATAATAAATAAAATTGAAGAGATATATTTTGAAAATAAAGAGAAAGAAAAACTTTTTCTATAAAAAAATTTCAAGGTAGAAAGCTTTTATGTAGATTTCTTCTTAAAAGCATATCTATAAAAAAGAAACTACGAAGACTGAAATATTTTCTTTAGAAAACTTTAAAAACGACGGTTTATTACGTCAAACACTGAAAGCTTTCCTTTAGAAAACTTTAAAGTTGAAAGTTTTATAGAAAAACTTTTTTCTCGAAAACGTTATATGTTGAAAGCATTTCTATAGAAAATTTTAGAGATTAAAAACTGTTTTATAAAAAAAATGTTTAGAGACTTAAAGCTTATCTTTACTTAACTTTGAAAACTACAAGCTCTCTATAAAAACTTCAATGACTGAAAGTTTGTTTAAAGCAAATTTGAAACAGAAGCTTTTTTATAGAAACGGGATGCTATTCCATAGAAAACATTCAAAACTTAAAGTTTTATATAAAAGAACTTTAAGAACAAAGTGCACTTCTATATAAAAAGTGAAGATTGAAATATTTTCTATAAAAAACTTTATAGGCTTAAAGCTTTTCTATAAAAACTTCCAAGACTGAAAGCTGACTGAAAAACATTAATGACTAAAAGCATATAAAATAAAGATTGAAAGCTTTACTACCCAAATAGTCTTTTAAAACCAACAATAAAAATGTTGAAAGAATAAAAGTTTTTAATGCAAGTTTATAGAAAACAGTAGGGACTAAAAGCTGTTCCATACTCTATTTAAAACACCGAAAGCTTATCTATAGAAAACATTAAAAACTTAAAGCTTTAAAGATTGAAGGCTTTTATATAGAAAACTTTAAAAACTAGAAGTTGTTGGAAAGATTTTTATTAACAGCTTCAAATATTGAAAACTTCCTTCACACAAACTTTGTACAAAACTTTAAAAGATTTTTTTTAAAGAAAAAGCTTATCTATACAAAACATTTCTAAAGATAGATTCTATAATTGAAAACTTTTCGATAGCAGCTATGTATTTGTTTAGAGAAACAGAAAAGTTTATCATAGAAAGCTTTTGAGATGGGAAGCTTTTCTATAGAAAATGTTTAATATTGATAACTTTACTAAATAAACTTTGTAGAAAACTTAAAAGAAGGTTTTTTTATAGAAAAAGCTTTTCTATACAAGACATTTAAAACTTAAAGTTTTAAAGAGTTGTTGTTTTAGTTGTTTTAAAGCTTTTAATTAAAATTGAAAATTTTTTTCACACAAACTTTGTATAAAACTATAAACACGGAAGACTTTGATAGAAAAAGCTTATCTATACTAAACATTTAAGAAAAAAGCTTTCCTTTACTCAATTTAAAACTCTTTTAAAACCAAAAACTTTTCTAAAGAAAGAGTCTAAGATCGAAAACTTTTCGATAGCAGCTATGTATTTGTTTATAGAATCAGAAAATTTTGCTATAGAAAGCTTTTAAGATGGAAAGCTTTACTATAAAACACTTTTTAATATAGAAGACTTTTAAGACCAAAAGCTTTTAGATAACTTTTCAGCAGAAAACTTTTCAATAGAAAAGTTTGCCATAGAAAGCTTTGAGATGGAAAGCTTATCTATACAAAATGTTTAATATTGATAACTTTACTATAAAACACTTTTTAATATAGAAAATTTTAAGGCCGAACACTTTTAAATAATTTTTCAGCAGAAAACTTTTCAAACAAAAACTCATTCATGCAAAAGCTTTCATTAATTAAATAATTCATCCTATATTTAATTTTTTAATTAAAATTTTAAAAATTAATTCATCAAACTAACTGAAAACCAAATAACCTTAACGTTGTTTCTTCAAACTATTGTTAAGCGAGCTCAGTAAAGGAAGTAGTAAAAAATCATTACTATGAAGGCCAAATATATCCACTAAAAATGCTGTGCGATATAATAAACAGCTGGAAAATGAAAATCAAAAACATGAACGAAAATCATGAAAATGAAACGCATTTATTATTAAATTTAATTCAGTAATGCAGGATAATTTTGAGCAAATTTACGTTACATGCTTGTAGAAAAACGATGAAGGAGAGAGAAAGAGAGAGATGAAAAATATTTAAATTTTTATGTTAAGCACTCATAAAGTATTTATGAAATTTTTATGCACATTTTCAAGCACTTTGCACACTGACTTTGTAAGTGAAAATTTATACAAATGAGAATTTGTATGTAAGTAAAGAATACCAGCTGTTCTATATAAGGTATTATGGTAGCACTTGTAATTGAATAGATTTTATATATTTTTGGATTCTTTTTCAAAATTTTGTACTTTTTGGTTATGCCAGTATTAAGGCGTTAGTTACTTTATTGTCCACAAGTAGTCAAGTGGGTAGTCAGTTCTTACTTTAAACTGATATGCCGGTATCGTAATTTAGAGACTAGATAATACGGGGTAATACGAAGATTTAGGCATTAGCCACTTTATTGGCCACTAGTAGTCAAGTGTGTAATCAGTTGTCAGTTTAAACAGATATGGCTTTATCGTACTTTAGAGACAAGATAGTTCGGGACAATCACCAACCAACCTGCAATGCTTAAGGTAGTTATATAAATATGTTTAAATCTGTTGGTAAATATATATATAGTAAAGTGCTCTTAGTTTTACTATTCGCCAGTAAAAGTAGAGAAAAAATTCTACAAAAATTCTCTTTTACACTTTTGCTGAATTTTATTAAAAAATAATATGGCAAAATGAAAATAAAAAAAAAAACTTAAAATGTTTTAATTTTCACGCCCAGCCAAAGAACAGTTGTAGTAAAATCAACAATTGCTTATAATATGCAAAAAATATTAAATTTTTTTTTCACCATCACCATCAACAGTAATTGTGGACCTTATTGAATAATGTAGAAAAAAACCCAAGAAAAATAAACCTTGAGCGTATATGTATGTATGTTTTCTCCCCTCTTTAGAATTTTCATTGTAATATTTTAATCTTAAAATAAGCTAAATGTGAATTTTATTACATTAATTTATAAATATTCTTTATTTTCTTTTTTTCTACTGATTGCCACAACTCATCTCCGTTTATTACTGCAACTGTTGGCTGGCTGCCTTTGCTATAGTGTTTATTTTTCTTCTCACTTTTCACACGGTTTCATCAGCAGCTTTAGGGGTTTTTTTGTAACTTTTGTATTGAAATCCTCATTCATAAGTACAACATTTACTATAACATCTTCTAGAACAAACACCATCTAAAATACAATACTTATTAAGATCTTGGTTTTTTTTTCTTTGGCTTCATAAAAAATTCATTGCTATTTTTTTTTTTTTGGCTTTTTTTTCATTCTTTATTGAATTTTAACCTTAATTGTAAAAAAAATCATACTTTTATTTGTAAATTTGTTAACTAAAAAAAGCAGCTGAAAAAAAAAGAAACTGTAAAATAAGTCATGCATTTAAGAACAAATTAATGAACATATACTTCAAGTACAAGTACGTGTATTAAATAGAGTTGTGGCAGCTAAAATTCAAAAGTAAAATACAAATATTTGAATGCCATTGTGAAGGTCTTGTGGGTTTTGTTGATGCGAAAATTGCAGTTATATAATAAAACATTTTAAACTCGAAAAAATTTGTTGAATGTAAAGTAAAATATTTGAATTAAAATCTTTTAAATTGTTTTATTTTTCAATAGAAAAGTTTTAAACTGAAAACTTTGTAGGCAGAAAGGTTTTCCATATATACATTTTAAGACAGAAAGCTTTTCCATAAAAGCTTTTAATACCAAAAATAGAGAAAACTTTCAAGACAGAAACCCTTTTTATTAGAAAACATTTAAGATAGAATGATTTTCTTTTAAAATACGAATTTTTCTATTGGAATTGTTTAATACAGAAAGCTTTTCTATTGAAAGCTGTTAAAGTCATATACTTTAAAAGAAACAAAGCTTTTGTATAAAGTAAAAATTATATTTATAGAAAACTTTAAGATAGAAAGTCTTCACGTGAGAACATTTAAGATCAAAAGCTTTTCTATTAAAAGAATTTGGAATAGAAAGCTCTTCTATGAAAAGTTTTTTTAAAAAAAGTTCTTCTAAAGAAACCAATAAATTATTATTTTAAAAACTTTTGAGACAGAAATTTTTCTATAGAAAATATTATAAAAAAACATTTAACAAAGTAAGTTTTTCTTTAATGAAACTAAGCTTTAAAAGAAACAAAGCTTTTGTATAAACAACTTTTAAAGTAAAAATTATTTCTATAGAAAACTTTAAGACAGAAAGTCTTCATTTAAAAACATTTAAGAAAAAAATATTTTCTATTAAAGGAATTTGGAATAGATAGCTCTTCTATGAAATGTTTTTTTTTTAAGCTCTTTTATAAAAGACAATAAATAGCAACATTTTAAAGTAAAAAAGCTTTTCTATAACAAACTTTTAGGATCAAATACTTTTCTATGAAATACTTTTAGGATCAAAAGTTTTTTTGTTACAAACTTTTAACACTAAAAGCTTTTATATAACAAACTTGTAAGAGTATACAACAATTTTAAGACTGAAAGTTTTTCTGCATAAAGCTATTAAGATGGAAAGCTTTTCTGTATATAACATTAAAGAAAGGAAACTCTTCTTTAGCAAACTTTTAATACATAAAGCTTTTTATCGAAAACGTTAAAGACAAAAAGGTTTTGTGTAGAAAACTCTGAAGAAAACTAAGAAGTTTTTTAATAATCTTTTAAGACCTAAATCTACAAATTTCAAAATACAAAACTGTTCTACAGAAAGCTTTAAGGAACAACAACTTTAATAGAGAGAAAGCTTTTATATTGAAACCGAATGCTTAACTATTCAATACTTTTAAAACAGAAATCTCTTCTATAGAAAATGTTGAGACAGAAAACTTTAATGACAAAAAGCTTTTCTACAGAAAACATTTAATGCAGATAG